AACAGATTTTTTTTATGTCATTTGTACTTTCTCCTGCTTTTTTTATGGACTCCTATCAGTCTTATATTATTCTTTGCATCACCTAGAGCCATTGGATTGATTTCTGATATTCCCTTACTATTTTTAAGAGACTTCTCTTTTCATGGTCATTGACGGCCATCCTGTCTTCTATATGTGATACTCTGTCTTTAGACTGGCTAAGTCTGTTATTTCTGCTTTCAATAGAAATTTTAATCTCCTGGATACATATTTGAATCTGTTTCTTGGTTTCCATTTCTTTCCTGTGCTTGGTATTCATGGCATCCATCATGGTCCTGAGCTCATCTATTTTTTTTATCTGTTTCTGTTCTAGAGTAGCTAATCATGTCTTTCATTCTACTCACCATCTCTGTAGTTATCTGGGAAATTATTGATGTTTTGAATTTTTCTAGAGCCTCATTCATTTGTTTTGTTGCTTCCTGTGCTATCAGTTCAGTGTGTTCATGTGGTTGATTATCAGACTTTTCCATCTCATTTTCCCAACAATTTGCCTTTGGTGAGCTGGCAGCCTGTATTTGTGCTTGTGCCTTGTTTGAATGTCTTCTCATTTCTATTTTTGTTGTTGGTACTGCCCTTGGTTTGATACCTGAGTTAATACTTCAATCTTCCTTTTATGCCTGATCTTTAGGTTTCAAGTCTCTACTGGCTCTGTGGAAATGTCTTTTTCATTATACTGGAAGGACAACTGAATAGATCAATCACAACACTGTAGCCCAAGTGATACAGTCAGCAACACAATAGGATCAAGCACAACTTAGAAAAGGACAATTTGTGGTAGTTACTAATCTATCACCTTTCACTGTGTCATTTAACTCAAAATGGAGGCTGAAGCTCAGAACAATGGCCATTATGACTCCCTGTGCCTCTGTTGTGAATCCAGGTACCAGTCTAGCCAGGTAGCCAGAGGTGCATGGGGGTGGGATCTAGGGGTACCTGGGGGGTGCTGTAGAACTGTGTTGAGATGCTGAGGCCTGGGAGATGTGGTGGGGGTAGCTTCACACAGTTCTGCCTCTCACCTGTCTGCTGCTGAGGCCTGTGGCATCAGCACCAGTTTTTTTACACCTACAGATTACAGGAGGAAAAGTTTATTTTGTTCACAGCTCCCAGGGAGTTCAGTTCAAAGTCAGATGGATCTAAGGCAAAAATATCCTAGTAGAAGGGCTTGGTGGAAACAAGCTGCTCAACTTATAACAGCAAAGGGACAGAGATCAAAGGGATCATCTGGCAATAAGAATAAACCCTTCCAGGTCAGGAGCCACTTCCAACAAGATGCCTTTCCTGAGACCACACTACTCGGCTACATTCCTAGCAACCAGTCACCTTCTGAAAGTTCCTCTGCTATTATGTGAGACTTTTAGGGGCCACTTTATATCTAAACTGTAACAAGACCAGAACAGTAGTAACAAGCGTGGTAGAAGTGACCACATTCAAAATGTCACTATCTAGGATTTTTTTAATCATCTGAATGTTAGATGGGTAAGGAAGACAGGAAATAGAGATTACTGAAAACATCTGTGCTGAACCATTGAAAGAATAACATTGTAATCCATCAGAATAAAGAACGCTGTGAGAAGCACCTGCTCTGAGAAGATGAGCAATTCCACTTTGGATAGCTGGCTTCAAAAGAATCATTAGGCATTCAAGTGAAGGAATTAAAATAACAGTGGAATTCACAAATCCATGATGACTAGTTATGTGTTGTCAACACATGAACGAATATGTGCAACCAGGAGACTGAAAGAAATTGCAAGGGAGTATAGAAAATAAGTCAAAAGAACAGATTGGTCCTTTAGCAAACCAGAATAAGATACAAACCATCAAATGTTTAAAAAAGAGCCTGGTATGATGGTGTGTGCTTGTAACCCCAGCTACTCAGGAGGCTGAGGCAAGAGGATCACAAGTTCAAGGCCATCCCAGGAAACTTAGCAAGACTTGTCTCAAAAGAAAATAAAAATTTAAGAAAGATAAAGGTGTGTAGCTTGGTGGTAGATAATACTTGCCTAGCATGTGTAAAGCACTGGCTCAATCTCCATTTCTCACCCACCCCCCAAAAAATTGAAAATAATGAGCATTTAAGCAGGAAAAGTTCAAATCAATATACTGGATGTCAGGGGAAAAATGTGCATGAAGTAAGAGAGTGACTCAAGTGCTGATAGGTAAAGTGACAGGACACTGCTAGTTATGTGTATCAGAGGAAATCACTCATGATTTTGAGGAGAGAAACCTCTGGCATGATGGAAGCATATGACTAAAAATCCCCCATATCTCTTTCATGTCATGATTTTATGTTGTTTTTGTGCTGTTTTTAGCCTGTTGTATCTACTCAGTCTCAGGAATATCTACTCATGTGCGCCATTTTGTCTTTTCTCACATAGTGGTGATGAACACCAGATAAGACAGCAAGTAAGTGATATTTCTAGTTTCATTGCTCCCCTTCCTAGAATATCTGGACATCACTTCATCTTTTTGCCTTCTTTCTGTTTGTTAGTATGTACCTCAAAGGGCTTTGACAATGAAATGCACTTGACAGTATGGATCGCTCCCAGCACGTGTTTCCTAAGTGACACCCTTCATTGTAATCATTGTTCTTGTGCAACTATGAGTCCTGGGTGTGTCTCCCAGTGTGGGTTACTTAGATTTGTTGTGGCACTCAATAAAGTATTCCTGAAAATCTCATAACTTTTCCATTCATTGAAGGAAAGACCTGTAACAACTTTCTGTCTTTGATCCTGGGAGTCTCTAGTACTGTGAATCACACAGTTAAACCTCTTCTTTCTGAATAGGAGAGGTCACCAAAGCTCCTGTGTAACCTGACCTTGAGGATGACCATCTTGCAGATGAGTGTCTCTCTCTTCCTCTCTCTCTCCCTTTACTTTGTAATTTGCAGCACAGGTATAGTTTTTTACAGAGCCTGGAGTGTCCGTTCAGAAGGAAGATATAAAAATGCATCGATTCACCTCTAAAATTAACAAGCCACATGGAATCTGGAGAAACGGGGCCATCCGTAACCTTTTTACCACCTGGAAATGAAGTTATCGACCTCACCAGGGAAACACAAGAGAGGGAAAAGGGAGCCTGTCTAAAGCTTGTGCTCAACACAGTGATGCAGTTTACAGGTGGCTGGTTCTGGGCAGAGAGGCAGCTGACAGTGAACACTGAGCCGGGGCCAACTTTCCAGAACATCCCGGAACTTAGGAACTGGTCCCAATAAAGTGAATGTGAAGTCAGGGACTGGTGAGAGTGGAATGAGAAAAATCTGTGTCCAGGAGCAACAGCAAAATGGGCACTGCTCTGGGGGCACAAATAGAAACAAAACCCCTCTGGCACTACCTGAAGAGTGCAGGCCCAGGAATGCATGGACCTCTGTTTACAAGTACAGCAAAACTTTTTCCACAAGAGTAGTATCACATCCAACATTATTCTTGGGAATGCTTTTGAGGAGCAAGGGAGAGGGAACCTCAGAAGAGAACTATACTTTCTGCCAAGAAAACTAGGTGGAGGCGGCGGACCGCATCTATCCAAGCACATAATTAGGTGCCGGGCCCCTCTGCTTGCTGTGAGACTCAGGCAGACTGAGGACGAGGTCTGCCTTCCTCCCTGGGTTTGCTGTAGCTGTCTTGGTGCCTCCCAAACATATGTGCTGAATGAGAAATAGTTACAGATAGCTGAGCGAAATGACTGGCACTATTCGGATCTACATGTAAACTGTTCTGGGAGTGGGTGCTGGGAAGACAGATTCCACTTGTATGGAAGAGAAATCTCCAGGAAATCTGAAAACAAAACTCTCACAAGATTGACCTTTCTGATGTCCTACCTCAACTTCTCCCTGGTTTCTTTGCCCTTAGACACTAGCTCTCCAGTTCCCTCTTCTTTTTCCTGGAGTTGTATACATGTCCTAGTCAGGCTCCCTCCACAGCAGTCTGAATTTCTTCTTTCTAAAGTTATCTGCTAACTCTCTAAAAGTTAGGTATTTTTGAATTTAAAAAAAAATATCTGTATGGGAAAGATGGAGTAGAGAGTTGTGACAGATACACAAATAGTTGGGGGAAAGTAAAAAAAACACAGGGAGATAACAGCAGTCCAGAGGCAGACAAAACTGGGCTCAATTCCTGGTCCTTCTGTGATCTTGGGCAATATCCTGGAAAAGCCTCTTAAGAAAACCATCAGGGAAATTTGTTCTTTAGAAAGACTGGTTTTATTAGTTGCTTAGACAAAGAAAGACAACATCTCTGTAGTCTCAGTAATGCTTTAAAAGAATAAAGTTAGTGAAGAGCTTTCAAAGAGCTCTAGAACCTGAGATGAGTGATTTTAAGGGAAGTCTGTCTCACAAGGTAGAAATTTGGTTGAATGTTGCTCAGTCTATGAAAAATAGCCTAGACCGTTAGGCACAGCATATAAACGATGTCATGTAGGTGTGACAAGAGAGCCATGAGAGGTGATACATAAGATACTGCAGTTGTTGTCTAGTCTTAGGAGCAAGCATTTCCTGAAGCAAGCAACTCAGGAATTAATGGGTTTCAGCACCATTGAGCCTCAATGTAGTAAAGTGATGTCTCGTCTGAGTATTTAGCAGAGGAATTAGGTGGGTTTCATTTTATGGTACACATGTTCCTGTGATCTCAGAGTCTTGGTCTTTGAAGTGTAAAGTGCAAGTAGTTAAACAGAGTAGCATATGGGTATGCTTGTGTATGCACAAAGTGTGGGAAATACATTTGGTAGCTGATAATATTTCATCGGTTCTTATTGAGCAGACTCTACACATATTGATGCAAATATCAGTGAATCCCAATTTCAAATTCTAGATCAATCCTGGCTTGAAGTACATAGCAAGACCCTGTCTCAACAAAACAACAACAACAAAAAAAGACAAAAACCACATTTTTATATTGATTTGCTAGTTGCTGTAACCCAAATATGTGCTTATATAACTATATAATTAATATTCATCACTTTATTTTCAGAATGACATGAATTACATAGCATCCAGTGGACTTCTGTTCAAAGATGGCAAAAAGAGAATTGATTACATCCTGGTTTATAGAAAGACAAACATACAGTATGACAAGAGAAATACATTTGAGAAGAACCTCAGAGCAGAAGGGTTGATGCTGGAGAAAGAGGTAGGTGTTTTGCTGTTATTAGTATGTGGTGTGACATTCTGGAACAAAAATGATCCACTTACACTTTAGAATTAAAAGTACATACCAAATGGCATTATAAAGTATGTAGTTATTCTCTCCAATTGTAGAGTGAATGCATGGCCCCATTTAAATACTAGTGTGTTTACTTTTTACTGTATCTGTTTGTGTTCAGTTTAAACATTTTCCAAGGGCATGGCTATCTCTACAATTTTAAAAACTGACTGATGATTATACCTTTGTAGAGTCAGAATAAAAAACTATGAAAAGAAAACTAAAACATGGAAAGAAAAGTTGTTGCCAAACTGGTATTGTATGTGTTTTATTTCCAGAACTATAAATATCTTCTCAAGCCTTCTTCTGTTGTGCTTGAGAAAATTTCTTTAAAGGATTTATTTTCTATCTAGCAAAAGTATCAAAGTCACTTGAAAAAAATAGAAAAGGGGAAAAGAAAAGCATGTACTTATAGCTCTATATCCAAAATTTATCATGCTAATCTCAATTAAACTCTCTGTGGCTTTAAAATCATATACTTATTTATATTAGAAAAAAGAAAAAAACCTTAATGTAAGAGGTTAAGGTAGAATTGTGTAAACTGAAAGTAAGAATGTGTGTCCCCCATCTCTCAATCCGTACCCTTCTCTCCTTTGGTGGCCTTGTTAACAGCTATATATTTTCCTAATAGGAGTCCCTCAATATATTTCCTGTATATAATATACATATATATACATTTTTATGCAAAATTATATTTATGACATATACTTTCCTGCTACTCAGGTATATTGTGTAGCAATATATTAGGAATATCTTAATTCCCACTACCTTTAGAATCAACTCAAAGTTTTTTGCTTTGTGCATGATATTGTAGCTTGGGGTTTAGTCAGCCATTCTCCTGAGAAAAAAAATATAAATTAAATACTAGAGAGATGCTTAAATTACTGTTTCTGGGGTTTAACTGGCTTTTAACTAGGCATAATGAGGCAAAAAAGCCTGATTTAATTAAATATTCAGATAATTTTCTAGTAAGATGTAGTACTACATTAATAGGCAGTTAGATGTAACCGCAGAGCTCTTCTCCCAACTTCTTTTTGTCACAGAAATACCCTGGCCATGTTTTTTCCCTGAGGAACACACATCAGAAAGTATTGATCTCTAAGTTGAGGTGGGCCTAGAGAAACTCATCTGTTTGTATTTACTGGAAGCCCTTTTAATAAGTATAAAATAATCAACAGTACAACTTCACTCTGTGAGGAAGACATTGCCCACACATTGTCCTGTGTTACAGAGTAGGACAAGGGAAATTCTTACTTATGCTTTCTGTTGACTTCTTTATTGTGCCTTTTCTAAGCCTGCTCTGGGAAGTTAACCCACAGCGTCGCTATCACTGGTAACTAATAAAACCAAGATATATTTACTGAGAAGGCATCTCATGAGGTCAATCTTGTGACAGAGGTTTGTTTTCAGATTTCCTGGAGATTTCTCCTCCATACAAGTGGAATCTGTCTTCCCAGCACCCACTCCCAGAACAGTTTACATGTAGATCCGAATAGTGCCAGTCATTTCGCTCAGCTATCTGTAACTATTTCTCATTCAGCACATATGTTTGGGAGGCACCGAGACAGCTACAGCAAACCCAGTGAGGAAAGCAGACCTCGTCCTCAGTCTGCCTGAGTCTCACAGCAAGCAGAGGGGCCCGGCACCTGATTATGTGCTTGGATAGATGCGGTCCTCCACCTAGTTTTCTTGGCAGAAAGTCTAGTTCTCTGCTGAGGATCCCTCTCCCTTGCTCCTCAAAAGCATTCCCAAGAATAATGTTGGATGTGATACTACTCTTGTGGAGAAAGTTTTGCTGTACTTGTAAACAGAGGTCCATGCATTCCTGGGTCTGCACTCTTCAGGTAGTGCCAGAGGGGTTTTGTTTCTATTTGTGCCCCCAGAGCAGTGCCCATTTTGCTGTTGCTCCTGGACACAGATTTTTCTCATTCCACTCTCACCAGTCCCTGACTTCATATTCACTTTATTGGGACCAGTTCCTAAGTTCCGGGATGTTCTGGAAAGTTGGCCCCGGCTCAGTGTTCACTGTCAGCTGCCTCTCTGCCCAGAACCAGCCACCTGTAAACTGCATCACTGTGTTGAGCACAAGCTTTAGACAGGCTCCCTTTTCCCTCTCTTGTGTTTCCCTGGTGAGGTCGATAACTTCATTTCCAGGTGGTAAAAAGGTTACGGATGGCCCCGTTTCTCCAGATTCCATGTGGCTTGTTAATTTTAGAGGTGAATCGATGCATTTTTATATCTTCCTTCTGAACGGACACTCCAGGCTCTGTAAAAAACTATACCTGTGCTGCAAATTACAAAGTAAAGGGAGAGAGAGAGGAAGAGAGAGACACTCATCGCACCCACTCCGCCTAGCACTCGCTAAGGCCTCATTTCCGTGAAGATAGCCTCTCAGAATGCTTTGCGTCGCTGCAGTGGTGAGACGCTCATGTTTCATCGGTTCGAGGATATTCTTTATAATCCGAAACTCTGTTCGGGTGACCTAAAAGAAAACTCAGTGGGGTGAGGAGGGCCTGGGACGGGTCAGGGATCTAATCTGGGTGATGACAGGAGGTCAGAAAAAGCAGCAGCGATGCGACGTAGAAGCAGACTTTGAAATGAGATTTGAAAGATAGGTTGCACTACAGCGGGTGACTAAAGCGTCAGGAGCGGCTTTTCGTACTCTCGCTGAGTGGTAGAATCACGTGGTGATCTTTTGCTTTGCTGATGCCGAACCTGGAGACTGCACAGCCGGAGTGGATGTCATAGGGGTCATGAAGGGAAGGACGGTGGTGTTTGGTTTGGTTTGGTTTATAACACCAAAGGGGGATTAAAAAGTACAGCACGAGGTAGAAAGCATGGCTAGGGTTAACGCGTCTGTTTTGTACTTAACAACTTTTGATCATCATGAACAAATGGCAAGCTATTGGATAATTTTAATCATGACAGTGCTGTGTTCATAAATGTTTTCCAAACAGATAACTCAGGTTGCTAAAAAAGAGCATGGATTTGAAAGACATGACTGGGTGCACCAGGGTCATGGGTGCTATTAAATGTGAGCACTAAAGAATGGATTTCACAACACTTTGTGGTGGTTTGGGTATTGAAAAAAAAAAAAAAAGATCTCAGGGATATTTTGGCTTTGTGTCTTAAGCAATTCATTGCTTTCATTCATGGAGCATTAATGCAGCATCTACTACATACTTTATTCCGAGGACAAATAGAAATCAATAAAAAAGTGCCACAGTCTCATGGGAGGAAATCCACTATCAACAAATGGAAAGAAGATGCAGTATACGGGAGCACAACCCAATACACAGAACAAGATGATGCCAGCGAGGGCTGTGGCCACACCCTGTGATAACGTGTGAGAGGAAAGAAAGGGACCTGCATGGGCGGGAGTCTGGTGAGGGAGGACAAGGAGGTGAAACCCTACCTGCCTAGGGTAGGCATGGCTGCCAACCGTAAGAGAGCTGTGGTGTGCACGTGGGGCAGGGGTCATAGCAATGGTAAGTTGGTAACCAGGTGCCCGTGAGAGATGCCAGCAGAAACCTTTGGGATCTGCGCCTAGAGCCCATAGCAGAGCTGATCTGGGGATAAATGTGTCAGTCTGGAGAATAAGGAAGGAATTAGAAACCTTGAGCTTCCTGGACAGAATGAGGAGAAGACTCAGCAGGGGGCGATAGGTGAAGGGAAGGAGAGGAGAACAGAAGCTTTTTTGCAGGTCCCTTTCCTTCCTCTCGGAGAGGAAAGCACAAGAGATGAGGTGGCCACAGCCAGGTGATGCTTGGGCAAAATAGTGCTGAGAAGTCCGCTGAGACCGTGAGGGGCCTTTCCTCCCTCCCCAGGGGTGGATGAGGGGACACTTGGGCAGCACCGGGATGGGTCTGTCTGCGGGCTGAGGCCTGCACTGCGGACTGCTGTGAAGGAGGAGCGATGAGACCAGGGAGGCAGACAGGCAAAGCCCCACTCGCTGGTCTGCAAGAGGAGAAGGCAGCAGCCGCCAGAGGGGTGGGCAGAGTCCTGGGGATCTCACTTCTCTGTTCCTTTATTTACCTTTCAGTTCATGTATTTCTCTTTTAGGTAGGGTGGTTAAATGATGATGAGTAAGATCCAGGAGATGCAGAAGGAAGGAGGGAGGGAAACAGGAAGAGGGCGGAAGAACACAGAGAAGAAAGGGGAGGAGCTAGAGGTGGGAAGGGGAGAAGGCAGGGAGGAGGGAAGAGGGCGACAGAGGAAACAGAAAGCAGGAGAGAGAAGAGCCGCTGAAGCACAGAACAGGGACTATTGAGGAAATTCAAGATCTGTAAATCGTATTTTAAATATAATTTTTACAAGCATTTATTTTACTTGTCATAGATATTTTTATTAAAAGGTTGTTTTTTATTATGTTCCTAATATTTGTAGTAACAACTTTTTCTTCAGTACTGGGGATTGAACCTAGGGCCTTTGCACTAAGATGCATTCCCTGCTTCCTCTCCCCCTCCCTCTCCCTCTCCCTCCCCCCT